AAAAGAAATACAGTGGAGTTTACCGAACTGAACAAAACCATAAGAAAACAGATAAAGGAAGATTTAAAGAAATACCAAGAAGACCGCATTAAAAAAATCATAAAGAAGAACAAAAGTTTAAAAACAATGAAGACAAATACAGGAAAAAGAAAGCTCATGCTTAAAGCTGAGAACAATGAAGAAAGAGATCTAGGAGAAATAGTTAAAATCACAGAAAGATATTACACAGACCTATACAGTTCTAAAAATGACCCACCACTATCATCTAAACAGAATCTCTCGAGGAAAATACAAAATGTTGGCTCAGAGGTATTACCAGAAATAACTGAAGATGAGATCGAAAAATCCATAAATGACATGAAAAGAAATAAAGCGGCCGGTGAGGACAAAATACTGGCGGAACTGCTAAAAGAAGGAGGAGACACGATAAAAAAAAATGCTAAAAATACTGTTCAACAAATGTCTGTTTGAAGGTAAAATACCTAAACAATGGAGAAATGCCAACACAATCTTAATACATAAGAAAGGAGACCGAACAGACCTAAACAACTACCGTCCTATTTCCCTTTTGTCACAACTATATAAAACCTTCACAAGAATAATAAACAACCGACTAACCTATAACTTGATAACTGCCAACCAGTGGAACAGGCCGGATTCAGGAAAGGATACAGCACAATCGAACATCTACATGCGCTTAAAATCTTAATTGAGAAAACCAATGAATACAACCTTCCGCTGTACTTAGCATTCGTAGATTATGAAAAGGCTTTCGACAGCATTGAACACTGGCCGGTTGAAGACACACTCTGGTCAATAGTAGAATAGATTCAAGATACCGACAATTGATATATGATATTTACCAAAACGCAACCATGACCGTAATTCTGGACGACAAATTAATAACGGATAATATAAAAGTTAAACGAGGAGTCCGACAAGGCGATATAATTTCACCTAAACTGTTTACCTTGACCCTCGAAGACATAATTAAATCAACAGATTGGGAAAACTGAGGAATATGTATTAACGGAAAATACCTAAATCACCTTAGATATGCGGATGATATACTCCTGATCTCCTCGGAACGACAAGAACTGAATTAATGCTAAATGAACTTCATGAAAAATCATTTCAAAAAGGCCTAAAAATTAACTCCAACAAAACAAAAGTAATGACGAACACGGAAGACCAAGAGGCAATAAAAATAAAAACAGAAAAAATAGAACAGGTAAATGAGTATATCTATCTAGGACAAGCAATCAGAGCTAACAGAGAAAATCAAGCAGCCGAAATATCGACACGAGTAAGAATCGGATGGGCAGCGTTCGGCAAACTTTCTTACGTTTTAAAAAATCAAACAATCCCTCTATACCTACGAAGCAAGGTATATAACTCCTGCATAATACCGGTGCTCACCTACGGAGCACAGACATGGACATTTACACAGGCCAATTTGGATAGGATAAGGAAGGCACAAAGAGCGTTGGAGAGACAAATGTTGGGTGTATCACTTAGAGATAGAAAACGTAACCAGTGGATCAGAACCAGAACAAAGACAGTAGACGCGATAGAACAAGCAGCAAAACTGAAATGAAAATATGCTGGACACAATGAACGTCTCCAAGACGGACGATGGAACAATGCCATCGGAAAGTGGCGTCCATACAATGCAAAAAGATCAAGAGGCAGACCACAGATGAGGTGGAAAGATGACATCAGGAAACAAGGAGGTCCGCATGGCAGAGAACAGCTCAAGATAGGGAAAGATGGAGAGAACTGGGGAAAAAAAGATAGTAGTATATTAATGTTCCGCTGGATCCGTGCTGATTACATATTCATTCCGTTCAAATTATTTGTATGGAATAAATCTAGTAATAGCCCATTCGAATTTACTGTATATTTTTTTCAGACAGACTTTTATTATTAATAAGTATCTGTATGTAGATTTATCAAGCTCAATATTTAATTCCTCTTGTACTAAGAAAATGAGCACTTAAAAGGCATATTGAGTTTCCAGCTAGTCTTTGGTTCATCTTCAACAAATGCTGCATCAGAAAAATGTGCATTTAAAACACATTTGGTGTTTTTAATTTTTGGTTTCTATAAAGTACGAAATGTTTCTTATTAAAACCCTATTTAAAAAATAAGAATATCCAGGATTATTTTTAGGACTAGTTCTTTTGTTATTTGCCTGTTTTTCCAAGTTTTCGCAGGATTTTAGACATACAGAGATATATTATTCTCAAGCTATTTTCTTGTGACATTTTAAAGTAATTACTATATAAATGGACATAAGCCACAATTAAAGTTTAAAGTACGTTTATTGGCGTTTCAATTTCCACTTCGGAAATCGTTCTCAAAATACAAACATTAGTAAATTAAACAAATTTTGTTTTTTTGTTACTTAGTGAAAAAATTCTTCTAATAATTTAATTTTATTTTACACATTTATATTGACAATTCAGACATACATTATACATTTTAAAGTAGACGACTTTAAAATGATTGCCAATATTGTTGAGTTGCACTCCTGGGACGACTTTGCTTATAAAATAGTTCATTCGATTACATGAAATCAACTTTAACTTGAGACTATGCGTCAGAAAAATCATAGCATATAATCGGTCATTAAAAAGACAAACACATGCCATGATTCAAAATTCTCCTGTTAGTAATTCCATAGTAAATTATGAGGGAAAATACAGGAAAAAAAACCTCATAATACTATCCCGACAAGGTAAGTATTTGTTCGTGCATTTAACTCACCTTCAGTAAACACCAAATTCTGATTTTATATGTTTGTTATTTAAAAAACATAAATTACGTATTCTCTCTGTGTTACTGACTTACTAGTATTTTCTTTTTAATAACTTCATCTTTCAATATGGGTAACCAGTTACTACTATATTATGCTGAGGAATTTGCGACACAATTGGTCTCATTTAGCATAATTAAAGCTGCTTCTTTGTTTTTTCTCTTTTTACCATCTATTCCATTTAGGACTATATTTGAATTATTCCATTGAACCCTATATTTATTATCATATGCGTGTTTATTTATTATTTGACAAAGAATCGAACAAAGCCTTTGGAAAACAGAATATATAGAACTCTATTCAAAAATTGTTTAACAAGTTATCATAGAAGATTAATTACACCTCATTACATTAAGACCCTTCATTTTTATGGAGTACCGAAAGTTCATAAAACGAATGTACCACTTAGACCCATTTGTAGTACCATGAATTATCCTTGTAGTGAACTATCAAGATTTTTATTAAATATTTTAAAACCATTTGCAAATAAAAATGACACATTAATAAAAAATACACAACATTTTTTAAATAAATTATCAAATATTCATTTTACTTGTTAGAATTACTTGTTTTAACGAAAATTTGTTCTTGGAGAAAAAACATTTTTTAACATCTGTTTCATTAAAAAATAATTATCCTTTATTATTTATAAATGAGGAATTTTCAACAATCGATCAAATAGAACAGAACAATTTAGAACGAGATCCTACAGCATACACAAGGAATAATACGAGAACATAACAATACCATACATAAAAGGATTATCAGAAAAAACTTAAAAGGATAGAAAATAAATTCAATATTTCAACAACATTCAAAACAACAAACACGTTGAGATCTATTTTCTCCAAAACCAAACCTAACAATGAACAAAAAAAGGACAAATAATTGCATTTATAAAATACCTTGTGAATGCGATCAGTTTTATTTAGGTGAAACATTAAGTCCATTAAATGTTAGAATAAGTGAACATCAATCTTATATTAAAAATAAAGAATTTGATATATCTCAAATCTGTAAACACGCATGGGATAATGAACATAGGGTTCAATGGAATAATTCAAATAAAGTCCTAAACAAACGGATGGTAAAAAGAGAAAAATCAAATAAGCGGCTCTAATTATGCTAAATGAGACTAATTTTGTCGAAAATTCCTCGACAGAATGTAGTAGGATATGGTTACCCATATTGAAAGAGGAAGTTATTAAAAAGAAAATACCAGTATTAGTAAGTCAATAACATATAGAGGATACATCATTTATGTTTTTTTAAATAAAAAACATATAAAATCAGAATTTGTTGTTTATTGAATGTAAACTAAATGCACGAACAAATACTTACCATGTCGAGATAGTATTATGAGGTTTTTTCCTGTTTTTTCCTCATAATTTACTATGGAATCACTAACAGGAGACTTTTACTGTCATCATGGCATGTGTTTGTCTTTTTAAAGACGAATTACATGCTATGATTTTTTCTGACGGATATTCTCAAGTTCATGTTGATTTCATGTAATCGAATGAACTATCTCATAAGTAAAGTGGTCCCAGGAGCGCAACTCAACACTATTGATTTTAAAGTTTTTCTTCACTAAGCAAGAAAAAAACAAAATTTGTGTAATTTACTAGTTTTTGTATTTTGAGAACGATTTCCGAAGTGGAAATTGAAAAGTCAATAAACGTACTTTAACTTTTAATTGTGGCTTATTCTCATTTAAATAGTAATTACTATACTTATAGAGATATCTTTACATAATTTTAAGAAGATATATTAACAAATATATTTGAATAATTTTTAAACCTGAGAGAATAAAAACTAAATGTTATTTCAATGTCTGTCACTTTGAAACTGACAGACATTGACAAAGTTAACTCCATCTAACCTTACACAATGAAAAATAAGCATACAATTTATCTATCTGTAAAAATTGCATGCCTGGATACTACATTTCTAATTATTAATTATTTCTTGTTTACAAAATTAGTGCATATTCTTTAAATTTTATCTTTATTTTAAACAAATATATCGCAAATCTAGAAAAAGTGCCATGTTTCTCTTATATTTATCAACAACATTTTGGAAATATCTATCAATTACATAAAGTTTATAATATTTTTACAAGAAATGCAATTTTTTGCTTTGTGCATAATATATAAAGGCAAACAAAATGAGTGTATGGTACACTTCTAGTCTGTTCACTGCCTGCATTTACAAATATCAAAACCAAAATGAACAAATTCATCGTTTTGTTTACACTTGCAGTTGCCATTGGTAAGTAATATAATATAAATTATATAATATTCACATACTTCAGTAATAGAAATTTTTCTCATTCGTAAAATTTAAAATCTTTTATTACTGCAGGTTTTAAATAGCATTTCTCTTTTTTCCTTCTTGTATTATTATCTTCTTTCAACGCTTTACTACCCTAAATGAGATAAAAATTATATTGTCGTCTTATGTGTAGATGATGTTTGGTACATTTTTTCATAATTGCAACAATCTCTGCCTTGAAAATAGAGGTATATTCTCTTAGTGGAGCAAAAATGTAGAAATTTCCATGAATATTCCTGCATCCGACCCTTCGGCAGTTCTTCGACGTCTTCCGATTTCCAATCTCCATCTCATTCTATTATTCCATAGATCGTCCTCCAATTCTCTTTTCCTAATTTCTTTATCAACTCCTTCTCTTCAACTTCTACTAGGCCTTCCTGGTCTCCGCCAACATCTTGGTTGCCATTCATGAATTTGTCTTGGTATTCTATTCTCCGGAATTCTCCTTACGTGTCCGTACCATCTGAGTTGTGTATTTTTGATGTCATCAACAATATTATGTGTAACCTCCATGATTTCTCGGACTCTCTCGTTTAGCGGCGTCAGAAGTCCATTTCTGGTGCTCTAAGCATTTTCTTTGTTCTGTCTTTTAGAGGCGACACTTTGCATACCTATGTTGTGATTCATTTTATTGTAGTGTTGTATATTCTTTTTTATTTTCCTTTGAGATGTTTTTATCCCACAGTACGCTGTTCAGTAAGGCTATGCCTTTCCTTTCCTGTGTATGATGTTGATCTCCTCCAATACTCATGTATTCAGTTTTTTCCATATTCACTTTCAAACCCCACTCTGTAAACTCTTCTAATAGTTTTCACATCATGTAACTAAGGTCTTCAGAGTCCTGTACGATGATGACCTGGTCATTCGCAAGCCACAGAGTGTACAAAGTTAAGTCGATTAGTAGTATGCCCATATTCGTACATTTTTTCTTCCATTTGTTGAGTGCTGCTTTGAAGTATATTTTGAATAATGTTGGGGATATACAGCATCCTTGTCTCGGTCCTTTAGTCACTTTGAATCCCGGTGTTATCAGATTTCCTGTTTTAATTCTTATTTTGTTGGTAGTACAACGTTTTTACCGCTTCAATGAATTCTATATTTATATTTGTTTTTCTTAGTGCCCCCCATAATTTATCAAGCGGAACACTATCATATACTTTCCTAAGGTCTACGAACGTCAGGTAAACTTCTTGGCTAGGAGCAACTGTATTTTCAATTATCTGAGTAATAGAGAAAAAATGGTCTATTGTAGATCGACCTGAATGGAAACCAGCCTATTCTACGGCTTCCATATCTTGGTATTTTTCTTCTATTCGATTTTTTATTATTTTACCATATATTCTGCTAATACTACTAGTAGCTGAAATTCCTCTATAATTTTTAGGTATCGATTTAACCTCCTTTTTATGAATGGGGCCCATGTGCGATTCTTTCCATTTATCAGGTATTTCATGTTTATTTATGCATTCCTGGAAAAGTTGTCGTAGCCGTTGAATTAGTATCTTGGGTCCATGTTTGATAAATTTCGAAGCTACATTTCCTGGGCCAGGTGATTTGCCATTCTTTAGATATCTGCATACAGTTTCGATTTCTCTCTCATTCATTCTGATTGATGATCCTATCAGCGTGACGCCTTGTAAACCATAGTTCTTTAGCTATTTGAAGGGTTCTCTTGTCTCTGTTAGTACATCTTTGAAGTATTCTTCCCAAGTTTGCGGTGATATGGACTAGATAATATTTCTTCTTCTGTAGTTTCTTAAATTTTTTAACAGTTTCTAGCTTTCTGAACTTTGGCTTCTACCAATATATGTATTTAACATGGTGGACTTTTTACCCAGGATTCATTTTTCTTCTGGCATATTTTTCTTCTGACCATCGCTTAAATTCTTTTGTATTCAATTCTGTCGTCCACATTTCTTGTGTTCAGATATTTTTGATACAATTTTCATTTTTGTGTTATTTCCTGCAAAATATCTTGATCCCACCAATATAGTTTTTGTTGTCTAATCTTTTCATATCGCCCTAGTGCGTCTAGGGTAGCGGCGTGTATACATTCTTTAATGTTTTTGTATAACAGATTAACATTCCTGGTATTATCTTCCATTAGTTTTTGTTTGTTCCAGTCTACGTTTATACAGGTTTCTAACACTTTCTTGGTGTAAATTATTCAAATTGTATTGTACTTCTCGTACTTGCTTCTTTCTATGGTTATTTTGTGGCGTTTTCTGTTCTCTTTTATGTGGAAATAAAATATTTGAATGTGGGAGGTAGTGGTCACTGCCGCAAGTGGTTCCTTTACATGCTTTTAAGACTGTAAATTTTTAGTATCCTTCGATACAACCACATCTCAAACGCCTCGATTTTATTCATGATATCGGCGTTTAAAGTCCAAGTTTCACATCCATACAAAAGTACAGACCACACGTAACATCTTGTAAACTTTTCACGGATTTCCAAATTTAATGAGTTATTGGATAATAAAGGCTTGAATTTTTGAAATGAGTTTCTTGCCTGTTCAATTCTACATCGAATTTCGAAGGATGGATCTGGATTTTGGGTAATCCAACATCCAAGGTATTTGAATCTCTGAACTCTCTGCAGCGGTTGTGGGTTTAATATCAGTTGGGTTGCGCCGATATCCACTTTACTGGTCACCATGTATTTAGTTTTATCGATATTTATCGACAGTCCCCAATTTGTGCATTCCATGTCAACTCTATTGATTAGCTTCTGAAGATCGTCGATGTTTTCAGCTAGAATCACAATATCGTCGGCGTACCGTATATTGTTAATTATTTCTCCTCCTATGATAATTCCTTTTTGATCTTCTAAAGCTTCCCTAAATAGATTCTCAGAATACACGTTAAAGAGGGTGGGAGATAGTATACAGCCTTGTCTTACGTCTCGTTCAATACTGATTGGCTTTGATTCTCTGTTGTTGGTATTAATAATGGCTGTTTGGTTCCAGTAAAGTTTGGCAATAAGTTTGATGTCTTTCTCATCTAGTTGGATGCTCTGCAAGGCGGTAATTAGTCTGGTATGCTGAACGCGATCAAATGCCTTTTCAAAATCAATGAAGCACATATATACGGGTTTTCTTACCTCCCAACATCGTTGAAGGAGTTTGCTCAGAAAATAGTGCTTCTCTAGTTCCAAGGCATCTTCGGAACCCGAACTGCTCTTGACTAATTATTTCTTCGCACTTGTTGTTAATTCGGTTTAGAAGAATATGCAACAGTATTTCAACGGCATGGCTCATTAAACTAATGAGTCTACAATCGCTACATTTCTTAACGTTTGGTTTCTTAGGTAGACGAATAAAGATCGATTTTAACCAGTCCGATGGAATTTCACTGGTATCATATATTTGATTGAAAAGTACAGTGAGTTCTTTTATATTGTAATTTGAGAGTAATTTTAGCCATTCGCTGTGAAAAGCGAGAATGATAATGTGAAATTATTTAGTAGAGTCAACTACGGATAAAATAATAGAAGAATATGAAGAAGCGTTAAATTATAAAAAAGTTCCTCTTGTTTGATTCATGTAATTCGATCGCTTATTAACTTATTTGCTTCTAAAATGTCCAATGAATTTTTATTTTATAATAGAAAATTGTATTGTCTAAATGTGTAGCAATAATAAATTAAAATAATTTAAGTAAAAAATCAAACCAATTTCAAGCAAATATTCAAAATGACTACCATTTTCTTCAATATACTTTATTATTCCGTTTCGCAAAGATCTCTTAATATCGAACAACCCTTGCTTATTATTTTTAATCTCATTAGCGGCTTCTTTTATTTTCTATAACAACTCTAAAAGAAAATTAATCCATATTTCAACTTTAAACTTCCCGTATCTCGGAAACTAGCAATATTTGTAAGTATAAGGAATGTTTAGCAGAACACTATATTTTTAGATCTAAAATCTATAACTCAAAGATTAAAGTACTTTAAGTACTTTAGTTCAAGCAACTATGAAAAAAGTTATTCGTTGTAAAATAAAATCATCAAATACTTATTAAATTGTTTTAGTCAAATATGCGATTTTCCAAAAAATATGAATTGTGGATATTATTAACTCTTAAGTATATAAAATTCAGATTTTTGGACAAACCGTGTATTTGACTAAAAAAATTTAGTATCAGATGATTGTATACTAAATTTTAGATCATTCTGTACCTTTTAAAAAGGAATTTTTTTCATAAAATTGAAAATAAAAAAGTTTCTCAAATTATCCAATTAAATCTGTGAAATTTTTTTTTTGAGTTTTACGAAAAAAAGTTATTCTTTAGAAAAAGTTTTGAATAATGTTATTCTTCGTCACTCTTGCATGTAGGCTTTAAGGACTGTGTTCTCTTTAATATTATTCTCCTAAATTGTTTAAATTATCACACCATTTTTTCTTGGTCTACCAATACTTCTTCGTCCATTTGGTGACTTATCTCATGCTATTCGTACCATCCTGTCCTCTGCCATTCTACAAATGTGTTCATTCCACTCCTGTTTCCGTTTTGTCACCCATCCATTTATTTCTTTGATATTGCATGCTCTTTTTATGTTTTCGTTTCTCTCCCTATCCAACAGACTTTTTCCTAATATTTGTCAGAGTATTTTCATCTCTGTTGTTTCTAGTAGTCGTCTCGTTTTAGATGTGCCAGGTCATGTCTCTGCCGTTTATGTTAATATAGGTCTAATTGCCGCTTTATAGATTTTTGTTTTTGTGTCTTGTCTTAGGTGTTTATTTTTCCAGATTGTATCATTAAGGGATCCCGCCGTTTTACTTGTTTTGAATCTTTGTTGTCGTACTTCTTCTTCAACATCTCCGTAACTAGTTATGTATATTCCCAGATATCTAAACCTTGCTTCCTGCTTTATTATTTCCATCAATTTTAATTTTACATTGTAGTGGGTATTTAGATGCTGTCATACATTTGGTTTTTTCTGCTGATATTATCATATTGTATTTCTTGGCTATTGTATTAAAGATATGTATTAAACTCTGGAGCTCGTCTTCTATCTCGGCGAATAATGCGACGTCGTCTGCATAACACAATATTTGGATTTCTGTGAAAACCATAATCTTTACTTACTGCTTATATTATTTAGTCCATTTTTTTATTAAAGAGAGGTGGGCTTAATGAGTCACACTATCTGACTCTGTTTTGTTCTGATATACACTGTGTTAGTTTTTCATTTATCTTTGCTTGTATTCGATTATGGAAATAGATGTTTTGGATGGTTTGTATAATATTGATTGGTGTTCTTCTTTTATGTATTTATGTATGTATGTTTTTTCAGTAGGTGTAAGACGTCTTCGACTTTTATGCGATCGAAAGCCTTTGTCAGGCAAAACATAGATATGCTGGTTTATTGTACTCGATGGCCTTTTCTGTGATTTGTCTTATTACAAATACGACGTTTATGCAGCATCTTGCGGATCTGAATCCTTGTTGTTCATCTAATAAAGTTGTTAGTTTATTGATTTTAGTAGGACTTTTTTGGTGAGCTTGTGGTGTTCAGCTCGTTGGTTATTCGGTCTGGTCCTGGTGCCTTTTTTATTTTTGAGCTAATTTATGGCTCTATCTCTACTTCCTGAAAACTGATTTCTGTTTCATGTCCTTTTCATGTTTCATGTCCAGAATACAGAATCCCGGGACACCTATAAAGAAGAAGAAGACTATAATCTAAAATTTAGAATATAATAATCAGATACTAGTTTTTTTAGTTATATACATGATTTGTCAAAAAATATGCATTGTGGATATTGTTAACTCTTACATAAAATTCATATTTTTTGACAAACCGCGTATATGTCTAAAAAAATTATGTCTGATTTATGTTTTTCTAATAATAAATTCTTTACTTGTTCCTTGTGTTTACTTTATGGTGTTAAGTTTATCTTGGACTATTAGTATTACCCTTCTGCGTGTTTAGTTTCTTTGTTCCTCATTCTGTATCCACTCCTATTGTTGGTGCTTTTACGTTTTTCTTCTTTTTTCCATTACTTTTATGCACTGACATTTAATATTGACGCTACTAAAGATTGGCCTTTTTAAAGTTGCTCAATAGGAATGGTCCATAACTCAAACAGCTGCTATTACTGCTCCAAACTGGAGGGGGTACAAATAAATGACGTTAAATAAATTGGCTATTATTACCTTCATCTTAGTTTACTTTATTTTTCTATAAAGCTTATCAGCTTTTAGAATAGATCTCTTTTAAAAAAGTTTATTATACAGGAACTACCCATGCCGCAGCCGTTAGCAGCAGCAGTTCTTCCTCAGAAGAAGACATTGCAGAAATAGCACAGATGTTAAACAAAAGATTTAACACCACTATCATCCTCGATGTCTTAAAAATGGCCGAAAAAGCTAAGGAAAAGTGTCCAAATATTGATGACAAAATTGACGTAAGTATCTTATTATAAAATCTCTTTTATTTAGTTATTTACATCTTCACTTGCAGAATTTCCCACTAACACTACATTATCACCTTATATTAAACACCAGGGAAACCTTATAGTGTCTCTCCTATTTTATCTAACACTAATAAGAATAAATAATAACTAAGAAATACACTGCTTCTTCATTTATCTAGCATTTATCCTACTTCTATAATTCTATTAGAAAAGGTTGCTTTTCTTTATTTTTAAAAATCCTTTAAAACTTTTCCAGTTGTTATTTTGGTGACCATTGCTGTTACTGTCTTCATTAACTCAACTGGATTTTTGTAAAATTCATTCCAAGTAATTTTATTTTAGTCTCACATTCCCTGATATTAAATTAGTCGTATAGATTTGTACACGCTTCAGCAATTGGTATTTATTCTAATTTATTTTTTAGGAAGTAGGTGAAAAAATTGAAAAATGCATGGACGACATTGAACTAGGATCAGAAACTTTTTGCTCACTTGTCAAAAAGAATCTCGCAAAATGCTCCAAACCACTCGTTGATCTGATCACTAGCTGCTTGCCAGATGAATCCAAAGACCTTCCAGCTATGGGAGAAAAAATTATTACTGCCATTGTAGATGAAGCTTGCCACACCACTGTTGAAGAACTATTAGGTAAGATAAACTTGTGGTATATTAATATTTTAGCCTTTTAACGGAAAACGTTTCGTACATGAATCCACAGACAGTTAAAAATTACCACTAACAAAATTCTTACAGAAATTTTAGTCATTTTAAAACTTAGTTTAGTGTTTGAAATCAATGATTTTAATTAAACATGAAGTGTATTTCGACTAATTACACTATTTTATACAAAATAAATGCACTAAAAGTTTTTAAAAAAGCCTAAATAAAGATTTTCTTCTTTGCAGAATTATTCAACCCATGTTTCATGGAGAAGGAATTCGTTTCCGTCCCAGCTTGCAGTGAAATCAAAGATGTTTTCGTCGCAAACAGAAACAAGCTCCCATCGAAATCCCTCGTTTGTTCGTGAGTATTTTTACTGTTTCCTAATATTCGTAATGTTAATGAAGCTTGATTTTTCTAATACGATATATTTGGATACAGAAACGGTTGTGATAAATGTTATTTTTTATTTTTATTCATTGGCAAGATTTTTTGTTCCCTATTTAGCGAGAACATTGTTTAACTTTTACACGAACCTTGCACTTTTACCACATATACCTTATCACAATCCTATTGACAGTATAAAATTATTATCGGCATATTTTTATCATCATTATCAAAGTCAATAATTTCTTGACATATGTGTTGTAGTTTATCATTGAACTTTAGCAGCTCGGCCAGGTTTATTAATGATCTTTCTCCATTGGTCTCGGTTAACTGTTATATGTGCTTCCTCAGTATACCGTTTGGTGAGACAGTAAGTTGTCCTTCCATCGTTTCCATTTTACTCTTCTATGTCTCACCCAGGCATTGATACTATCCATCTTGTATCTGAGTCGTATATCTGTACTTCTAGCTCTGTCCCATAGTTCTGTTCTCTAGCTCTGTTTTCATCTCTGCTGTTTCTAGCATTCTTTGTTTTCTCTATGTCAAGTCCTGTTTCTTTCTGAAAATATCCTTGTGGACAATTGGTATGTCCTAACCTGGTATCCATTTCAATAGCCTTTATTTTACTCTTGCTATTTTTTTAATAATGTCTGGCACATTGTTTTGTTTTTCATACATGTTTTTAAATTCGTCGTAGGGTTAGAGATATTACCTCCATGGATAGTTTATAGTAGACAACAAATTATTGCAGAAAAATTAATTACAAAGTCATTTGTATTTGATGTCGAGAAGTTTCGAGAGGTATCTACCATAAACAAATAGTTCAGTCACAAATGAACACAATGCTACTGCTACCTGATTGTGTTAGCAATCCCATCAAATGGAAACAACTTTATAATGACATGGAGATAATAAATTCTACAACAGGTTGTTGGGCAGTTAACCATTTGGTCTTCTGTATTTGCACTTTATGTTCTTGGCTATTTAATGGCTAATTCTAATTCTTACAGTGTTATGAGATTGCCTTCATCAAATTGATTCTAAAATCTGCTTATTCCACAGTCTTCTACAATATTTTTTATACTATTGTTCTTTTACGACTTTGTTCGTCATGAATTCTTTTCCTTCTGCACCGTCCTCAATTTTACTGATAAACTAATTTATATTTTCGTTACCTGCTTTTGTTATTTTTCTTTTAATAATGTTCTATCTTTGCTATTTGTTTTCATTTTTAAAGATATATTTCATAATCATCTTTTAGTGCTACAACTTTCGATGGTTAGGCTGACTGTACAATTTTTGTCCAATTTACTCAATCTCCTGTCAGTCTATAGTCAAATGGGATGTTTACTTTTTGGAGATCTGCTTGGATTTTATCTTTTCATCACAGTCTGGAGCGCACAATTGACAAGAGATTTTGTTCATTTTTACGTAATACAATGTTTAAATTGCTAGTTTCATCTTATATTTTTTCAGCATGTTACCAAAAGTGAAGAGCTGTGTTAAAGGACACGTAGAAGCTTCTTGTAAGAACCCAACTACTAAGAGAGCAACTCTGAAGTTCCACGAGGCCATCGATAATGCTATTAAATCAGACTGTGATGCTTTAAATAAAGTTTAAATTTGTACAATTAAATAACAATCGAAAAAAATTAATTTTTATACGACTTATGTGCTGTATTTTTCAACAAATGTACTGGAATTTTGAAAAATTGTGTGAGAAAATGTTTGTATATTACGTGATAATAAAAATATGAATAAAAGTTCTTGTTTTATATTTATCTCTTAATCTATTGACTTTACTAAATTGCTATCAATGCTTTTAGTAATTGTGATTTGTCACAATCTTTCAGTAATTAAGAAAAGAAGCTCAAAAAAGAACTGGAATGGAAGTTAGAAAAAAATAATAGGAAAACAATATTATTCACAGGAAAACGAAAATATGCAAAAATACCAGTTCTTTTGCTTTTAGCTTCTCCTTATGCTATATAAAAGGCGTTAGAGTTATTTGTAGCTATTCGCTTATCCATTGCTTCAATTTTTTCCCTGTCACTTGATGACATTGCTCACTATAAATATTCTTCGTCAGCACTTCTAATATTTCTTAAGAACTTCATTTCGTGCTTATTTTTCATTTAACATATATTTTATATATAAAATTATATTTATTATGGTAATTGAAAAGTATATTTTACTAAATTTTTTACCTCCTCTATTTGATATGTCCGTGTCTATTTTTGCATTTTGTCACCTGTTCTGGTTATTCTCATTAGCAAAATATTTTGTTCTCTGACTCTTATTTAATTATTTCCTCTGAGTATGCATTAAACAGTGGTGCCGACAAGACACAGCCCTGTCGAACACCTCTTTCGATTTTTATTTTATTCATTTTTAAATTATTTACTGTTATGACAGGTGTTTGTTCCTAATATAGATTATTTATTATTCTTATATTCCGTATGTCGATGTTCTTTGTTCTCAGTAGTTTTATTAACGGATTATGTTTCACTGTATCGAATGCCTTGTTATAATCTAGGTAGTAGACATACATGTCCTGGTTTACATCCAGACATTTCTGTATTAGTACATTTAGTGCATATAATACTTCTCTGGTTCTTTGAGCATTTCTAAATTAAAACTTAGTGTGTCTAATGTCTTGTTCTAACTTTTTATATATTCTACGTTGAATAATCTTTAGGTATACCTTTAGTATGTGGCATATTAGACTGATGGTACGGTGATCGCAACATTGTCTGGTGTTTTTCTTTTTCGGTATAGTCACAAATGTTGATAGAAGCCATTCCTTAGGTCAGTGGTTCTCAACCGGTGTTCCGCGGAACACTAGTGTTCTGCGAATTCCTTCCAAGTGTTCCGCGAAATACTCGCAATCCTACATACCATTTTGCTAAATTACTCTTTTCAAATAAATATTTTCAAATTTTAAAATAGCCACTTACGTACATTTTAATTTAATAAAATTCTGCAGCGTAAATGTTCATTTGCCCAACGTGACAACACCGCGTCGGCACAGTGCACACGTTGGATTTTATAAGCGCTGAGCGCTGAGCTCCGCAGTGGCCACAGCCAATCTGAGTCACCCACGCCACAGTCTGCAACTGAATGTTGAATTTGTTACATTGCACAAACGTAATACGTGAAAATCGCTGTGCCAGTTTTTTTTTGATAACGTTTACGTACGGCTTATCTATCAAAGGTAAGTAATTGCATATTTTATACAAAATGTGAAGCATTCATCCGCATTATTTTGTTTAGAGACGAATAAATTAAAATGGATAAGTTCCTCAAACTTAAAAGAAAAACTACTGTGGAACAACTCATAATTAATGATAATGAAGCGAGCACCAGCGGAGATACTGGAACTTTACTAAGTGGGGTTGATGACAAATCGAAGCGCAGCAAAAAAATGTTGAACCGGCAATATTTGGATGAATATTTGGATTATGGCTTCATTTGGACTGGGGAAGAAGACTGTCCAATTCCCAAGTGTATTGTTTGTGGACAGACACTCGCTAATAGCGCAATGGCTCCGACTAAATTAAAATGCCATTTTACTACCAAACACGCTAGTGTAGCTTCAAAAAATAAAGATTATTTCAAGCGACTTTTGGAGACACAAGTTAAACAAGCGAAACCACGCACTGTTGCAGAATCTCTTATATTACCAGCATGTTGTGAGATGGTCAAAATTATGTTTGGCAACGATGCACAAAACGAAATACGGAAAATTCCTATGTCGGATGATACAATAAGAAGGAGGATTGTTGATTTATCTGCAGATATTGAGGAAAAAGTTACAAATAAACTTTACAAAAAAAACTTCGCATTGCAGGTGGACGAATCCACTGATATTAGTGGCAAAGCTCATTTATTAGGATTTATTCGATTTGTCGACGAAGGTGAAATAGTCAATCAGTTTTTATGCTGCAGAGAACTTACAGCACGTACAACAGGTCAGGATGTATTTGATTCCATAACGTCATATTTAGAGAAAAAAATATATCATGGGACTTTTGCGTAGGAATTTGTACGGATGGTGCCCCTTCCATGGTAGGCTCCATAAAAGGTTTTTGTACCCTTGCAAAAAAGGAAATGAAAATATCATATCTACGCACTGTTTCTTGCATAGAGAATCTCTAATTTCAAAAAAGCTACCAGCTACTTTGAAATCTGTATTAGACCAAGTGGTTAATGTCGTGAATTACATCAAATCAAGACCACTAAAAACCCGTCTTTTTAAACAACTCTGCATCTCAATGGAATCAAAGTATGAATGTTTGTTGCTGCACACCGAAGTTAGATGGTTGTCAAGGGGCAAAGTATTATGTCGAATTTATGAACTTAGAACGGAGCTGTTAACTTTTTTCCAAGAAGAAGGTAATGACACATTTACCACATATTTTGAAAATGATGCATGGTGCACTAAAGTGGCCTATTTGGCCGATATTTTTAATTATTTAAATGGAGTTAACTCAAGTATGCAAGGCAAAAATGAATATATTTTAACATCCACGGACAAGCTGTCAGCTTTCCAGAAAAAATTGTCATTTTGGAAGAAGCGCATTTTAGAGACAAATAAAATGGATATGTTTCCACTGCTTCAGAATGAAGGTGATGAAGATAAAGAACAAGAAATCAAGCATATAGTTACAGAACACTTATCACTATTAGAGGAGACAATTGCCAGGTATTTTCCATCTCTGAACGTAGAAAAATATGACTGGATAAGAATTCCTTTTAGCACAAGTAATACAGCCAATTTCCAGTTTTCTCTGAACCAAGAAGAAGAATTTATTTCGTTGTCATCTGATCGTACTCTGAAAATTAAGTTTTCAGAAGTGAATGTTCAGGAATTTTGGATCTTGGTCCAAGAGGAATATCCACTTCTTGCCAAAAAAGCGATTAGTATTTCAATACAGTTTTCAACGTCCTATTTATGTGAATTTGGGTTCTCATCTTTAACAAACATTAAAAATAAGAAACGGGATAGCTGCTAAACTTAGAACAAGAAATGAGAGTAGCTCTTTTCCACATCAGGCCTAATATTGAGCAAATTTGCAAACGACACCAGGCACAAGTGTCTCACTAATTTGAAGTATTTACTCATATGATGTATTTTGAGAATTACGCTTTTGTTAATTTTAAAAATGTTTTTTGTTTTTATATTTTATGTAAAATTTTACAAATTTGAGTACGTATAATAAAGTTTATTACAGAATTTATGTGCTAATCCTAATTTGTTTATCAATATATGCATGTTATTGCTTTGGTGTTCCGCAATTTTTTTCGGTAATCAAAAGTGTTCCGTCGCCACAAAAAGGTTGAGAACCACTGCCTTAGGTATTATACCTGTTCTTATATTATGATATTAAATAATTCGACAATGTACATGTATATTGCAGTCGGCGATAAGTTGCAATATTTCTGTCGGTAGTTCGTCTGGTCCTATTGCTTTCCCAGTTTTCATTACTTTAATTGTGTGTTTTACTTTACTTTCTGTTATTTCTGGTTCAATCTCTTAAACGCAACTATTCTATATACATAGTTTGCCTATACCATCAATTTGTTTTCTGTATCCACTACAGTGTCTCCCTTTTTATTTTGGTCTTGTAGTTAATTCTTTTATTTTCCTGTGTAAATTAAAGCTGCCATGTTTATTTTATAGCATCTATGAATTTGTCGCCTGATTTCGTTTTATGTTTGCTGGTACTATGATTTATTTTTGTCCTTATATACTCTTCTTTTGTTCATCAAGTTTAGTATTTCGTCTGTCATCCAGTCTTTTTTCTTTTCTTTGGTTTTGGGTAGATACTTTTGAAGGTTCTATTAAGTCAGCCTTTATTTTTTCCCAGTTTTTGTTGATGTTTTTTTCATTGCATTCCACTTTAATATGTACGGTGTTTAGACGTTCAGTTATTTTTTATTTGATATTTTCTCTGATTTCTGGTTCTCTTAGTACATTTATATCAGTTTTTTCTTCTTTTGCTGTCTTCTCTATTCTTTGCATTTTAATTTTCACATGTGCTGCTAAGAGATATGCTACATCTGCTCCAGGTTGCGTTTTGACTAAAATAATACTAGTCCGATATCTTATTTTGATCAGTATGTCATCTATTTGATTTTTTATTATTTGATGTTTATTATCTTACAAAATGTTTTTTGTTAAAATCCTATTTAAAAAATGAGAATGTCTATTATTCTTCATTAAGACTAGTCCTTTTATTATTCGCCTGTTTATTAAAGTTTATCCAGGATTCCAAACCAATAAAATAGAATCAATACTCTTAATACAGAAAATCTATTAACGAAATACAGGGTGTTTCAAAAATATTTGTCATAAATTAAATCACGCATTCCGGGGACAACAATAAATTCATTGAATTCAACTTACCTTAGTACAAAAGTGTACACAAAAAAGTTACAGCCCTTTGAAGTTACAAAATAAAAATTGTTTTTTTGCATTATCTCCTAAACTACTTGACATTTTGTAATAAAAATGAACACGTTACTTTCTTATTCTAACAGCATTTTTCATAAAAAAAAAAACAAAATCTAAGTGCACAAAAAAATTTGAAGGGGGGTATGCAGCTCTAAATCCCCCCAAACTTTTCTTCTTCTTCTTCTCGTGCCACTCCTAGCGGAGATTGGAAATCATCATGGCCACTGCGACTTTGTTAGCAGCGCGCCTAAAAAGTTCAATCGAACTACACCCGAACCATTCACGTAAGCCACGATATTTTTCTTCTTCCCACACTTCTTTTGCCCTTAATTTTGCCCTGCGTGATCTTTCTTAGAAGTTCGTACTTTTCACATCTCACAAAGTGCCCCAAGTATTCCAACTTTCTAGTTTTTATCTCATTTAGAATTTCGCATCTTTTGTCTAAAGTTTGGAGTACTTGCGTGTTAGTGACGCGGTCCATCCATGATATTCTGAGAATGCGCCTATAGCACCACATCTCGAAAGCTTCGATGTTTTTTATGGTCAACTGTTTTAGTGTCCAAGCCTCAACTCCATATAACAGGGTAGAAAAGACATAACACCGTAGCATTCGTATTCGTAACTTTATATTGATATCACGATTGCAAAAGAATTTGCGCATTCTATTAAAGACTGATCTAGCGATTTCTATTCTACATCTAATCTCTTTAGTTTGATCAGTATCGTCTGTGATCCAAGCACCTAGATATTTATAACAGGGCACACGCTCAATCGTTGTATTGTCTATTACAAGATTAGCTCTGATGTTCTTTGATTTCGTGATTACCATAAATTTAGTTTTTTTCAAATTAATTTTTAAGCCGTAACTGTTACAGTATATATTGAGACTTTGGACGAGATGTTGTAGTTCTACTAGCGTTCCCGTTAGGAGAACTGTATCGTCAGCATACCTTATATTGTTGATCGTCTCACCATATTATTATCAGACCAAGATCTTCTTCCTCCAGTGCTTGTTCTCAGATAGCTTCACTATACAGATTAAATAAAAGTGGCGATAAGATACATCCCTGCTGGACTCCTCGACGGATTTGAATTTCTTCTGTTAGTCTGCCTTGCCCTTGACATTTGCTGTTTGATTCCAATATATATTGCATATAATTCGAATATCTTGCATATATTCGAACAGTTTTAGAGCATGACTCATCAAAGCTATCGTACGATATTCGTTGCATTTCTTTGTATTTCCCGTACATTTACCTGTATATCCCAAACTTTTGAGTACGTTCAAATCAAATGAATTTTGTGGCATCATTAGTTTAACACATTATTTTTAAAATTGTTTTGCCTCCTATCACTTTTTTCAAAAAACAGTTTTTATTAAGTTAGGGCCCTTTTCAATAACCTATAAAAAATTAAGTGCAACTAAATACATGGCTTAAATGAATTAACAAGTACAAAAAGTATCTTGCATATATTCGAACAGTTTTAGAGCATGACTCATCAAAGCTATCGTACGATATTCGTTGCATTTCTTTGTATTTCCCGTACATTTACCTGTATATCCCAAACTTTTGAGTACGTTCAAATCAAATGAATTTTGTGGCATCATTAGCTTAACACATTATTTTTAAAATTGTTTTGCCTCCTATCACTTTTTTCAAAAAACAGTTTTTATTAAGTTAGGGCCCTTTTCAATAACCTATAAAAAATTAAGTGCAACTAAATACATGGCTTAAATGAATTAACAAGTACAAAAAATGTCCGTAACATCTATAAATATGATATTACAATATACGTTGAAAAATCAAATTTTTCTGACGAAATTGATTTGCAGCTTCAATTATTCTAACCCTTAATTGTTCGTCCTTTATTATTGCAGAATACACTTTCTCTTTCATAAACCTCCAAAAGCAAAAATTCATGGGGTTAAGACCAGGACTTCTTGGTGGCCAAGAAGTAGGTGCGTCACGAACCCATCCAATCCACCGATCAGGTACTGCCTGCAAAGGTATTCCTGGACTTCATTACTGTAATGCGGTGGAGCGCTATCTTGTAGAAACCACATATTTTACCTTATTGCAATATTCACTTCTTCCAAATATTCTTGTATATCGTTTACCAAGAACTGCAAATAATTATCACTATTTAAATTATTGGGCAGAAATACTGGGTATATTAGTTTGTTATCCACAACTCCTGCCTAAACATTAACTTTGAAAGTCCTTTGGTGATGAGTGGTTTTTTTGGCGTGAGGATTTTCATCGGCCCAAATGTGCTTGATATGATGGTTTGATACTCCATTTCTACTAAAGGTAGCCTCATCGGTAAACAAAATATTTCTAATAAAATTAACATTTCGAGTGTTTTCCATTAACAATCAATAGCAAAATTCAATCCTTGTAGGATAATCTTCAACCAATAACTCTTGAACCGTTGTTAAGTGATAGGGTTTAAGCAGCTGGTCCTTCAAACGCCTCCAAACCCTTACATAATGAATATTTAGTTGAGCAGCTGTACTTGTTCAAGGGACTTCTTCAATGATTTCTGGATTGGACGGCCACTATTGCCAGCAACTTGCGATTGGAATATACCCGTTTCCCGTAAACGACGATCAATGGTCAGAAATAATCGTCTATCGGGTGTATTTCGATTGGGGTATTTTACTGTATAACGCCTTGCGGCTGCTGCACTATTTCCTTGACATTTACCTACGATATTCCCAATAGTTTATTGAAATCATAATTTAATCTGATCCAAAGTTAAATGTATATCTGCCATTTCCTAAAATGTGTAGGCCATTGTAATATCAAAATTTTTAATGTTAATCTTATTCACACAATAAATGATAGCTTCAAATTATTGACTATTATTGATGAAACTGTTTGTAATTATTGTATCCGTAGAAACTAAATGTAATTTTATGGCTAACTAGGAAAAAACTAGTTTTTCGAAAAAGTGATAGGAGGCAAAAATGTTTTAAAAATAATGTGTTAAACTAATGATGCCACAAAATTCATTTGATTTGAACGTACTCAAAAGTTTGGGGAGATTTAGGGCCGCACCCGCCTTAAAATTTTTCTGTGTTTTTAGATTTTGTTGTTTCTTTTCTACGAAAAATGCTTTCAGAACAAGAAAGTAACGTGTCCATTTTTATTACAAAATGTCCAGTAGTCTAAGCGACACGCAAAAAAACAGTTTTTATTTTATAACTTCAAAGGGCTGTAACTTTTTTATATACACTTTTGTACTAGGGTAAGTTGGATTTAATTAATTTATTTTTATCCCCGGGATGCTTAATTTAATTTATGACATAGCTTTTCCAAACAACCTATATATTTGCATAATTTTAATCCCTGAGAGAATAATAACTGCTATTTCTGTTTGAAATTGACAGACATTGACCAAGTTAACCCCATGTAACGTTACACAATAAAAAATATTCATAAAATAGATTTATCTGTAAAAATTGCATGCCTGGATACTAAATTTATTACTATTAGTTATTTCTTGTTTACAGAAATAGTGCATAATCTTTATATTTTATCTAAGGATTCACAATTTAAAACAAATATATCGCAAAGCTAGAAAAAAGTGTATGTTTGTCTTATATTTATCAACAACATTCTGGAAATATCTATTAATTATATAACCTTTTTATATGTTTATAAGAAACAATTTTTTTCTTCGGGTATAATATATAAAGGCAAACAAAATCAGCTTATGTTACATTTCTAGTCTATTCATTGTTCGCATATACAAATCTCACAGCCAAAATGAACAAATTCATCGTTTTGTTTGCATTTGCAGTTGCTATTGGTGAGTACTGATATAAATTACATAGATACTTCATAATTACATAATATTCACATACTTCAGTAATACAAATTTTTCTCATTCGTAAAGTTTAAAAATTGTTGTTATTGCATATATCAAATGACGTTTCTCTTTTTCCTTTTTATATTATTATCTTCTTTCAATGCTTTACATTTTGAATGAGGTACAAATCATATTGTGGTCTCATGTGTAGATGCTGTTAGATCTCCGACTTAAAACCAGAAGCGGAATAGAACGGAATAAATTTCCATGAATATTCCTTCACTCGACTCTTCTTCAGTTATTAATCCGTCCATGTAATAAGTATAACCAGGAATCGAGTATTTCCTCTGACTGTTTTGCCTACATTGCCTAATTTTCTCTTCATCTCTCCTTTTTCACCTGTATAAAATATCGCTGATTTAGAACAGAACTAGTCTATGTTAAAAATCACAATTGTTCAGAAACGCAATTTAAAGTTTTTCAGAAGTTTAGTTTTCCATTATTTTGTTTTTCAAAGATTAACGTTTACTTTGTGCATACTTTTCAATTTATTCAGAAAATTTTATATTACTATGAAACTTTTTTTTTGTTTCATTGTTTTAATAAAAAATTAGGTGCACATAGACTAGTGATACATCAGAATTATTAGTGCAGAAGTAGTTTATCTAGACCTATGCTAGTTCTACACTAACAATATTCTTTATTTTTACAAAAACACGCAGTTGGTATGCCGCAGTTGGTAACACGCAGTAAAGCAGAATGAAGGAATGATTAAATAAATTTCTACTGTTCATAAAAATACAAATATTTTATTAATATGTCGCTGATTACAAAATAAATTATAAAAACAGTATATATATAGCGAGTGTTTGCAACTTTAATTTTGTCGCTTCTCGCATCCCAATCGCCATAATTTCTTATCGGCCCAGTCTCCTTCTTGAAGACCTCTATTTTCCATTTCTATATGAATATTAGATATCCATTTCTTTTTTGGCCTTCCCCTTTTATTTCTCTGTGTAGGTCTCCAGTTCCAAACCTTTCGTAGTATCCTTTCTTCGTTCATCCGTCTCAGGTGTCCATACCATTTTAATTGTTTTTCGGCTATCGTATCCATTATTGTGTTCTTTACTTTCATTCTCTCTCTTTTGTTTTCATTTCTTATGTGGTCAAACAAAGTTAACCCGGAACATCTTCTCCAGTACATCATTTCCGTTGAGAGGAGTTTTTGTGACATATTATTGTTAAAGACAACTTTTAACAATATAAACACTCTTTAACACTCTCTTTAACTCTTTAACAATATAAAAACAGTGATTTCTTAAATTAAGTTTCCTTATGACTTTAAATTTAAATAAAAGGCATGGTACACGGTCGGAATGACCAATGATTTACATAGATATTTCAAATCCTCTAATTTCTTTGTACAAATAGGTAAACTTTCAGCATTAAAAATTTACAGGTCATTATGTACTGACAAAGTTTTTCGTCTTGTCTTACGCTCAATATTAATTCTGATAAAATTCACATCACATACAAAAACCATTATTATACGTACCTTCTGTGACTTGACCTTTTCTCCATTTTCATTTTTGTCTATTTCGGTACAATTATGTTTTCTGAATTCAACTAAATCGTAAAATTCATTTATTTCGGTAACATTGTATGGAATCTTTCTACGTGCTGTTCGTGCAATAAGGTACCACTGACTTGGCACGTATATAGCAACATTTTTTGAAACCCTCTCAATATTGCTATGTATACTATCACCTTCGTTTTGTGTATGTCCCTTTTTCAAGAAAAAGTGGGAAATTTTAATCTTAAATTTAGCAGCTAGATCTTCATACATTACGCCAATTTTTCTGTTAAGATTTTGTCATCCACAGTTTTCAGAAAAAAAACACATTTCTTGTTTTCCTTTCAGAGCCTTTTCTTCTATTAATTTTTTAACACAGTAAGCTACCTAATTGGATCCTCTCTGTCCTTTTGTCTTATCCCACATGTAGCAATAACCTTTTTTATAAAGATCATAAATACTCAGATTGTAAACAAAAAGCTTTCTACAATAATACAACTGAGATAAATCTAAATGTAGCGTTTGAAGAACCTGTTGCATATGAAAAACTGCTACAAAATAGGTATCATCATTTTCACATCTCTTCTTTTTTTTTTTTCATCATCTTCATTTGTCTTTTGTTTCTCTTGCAAGAACTTTGTTCTCTAAATGGTCTTTAATTAAATCTTTTATTTTATTTCTCTGTTCTTCATTGCTGTTTTTATGTTTTTCGCATAGGTCACACAAATCCTATTTGTTTAGTAGAATCCAAGGTTAAAATTTGTGTTAAATAAAGATCTGTACATTAACAAGTTACCGAATTGTTAGATATTTTTATTCACACAGTCTCCTTTATATAAATCATACATATTTTTATATTTAGATTTTAATCTAAATATTGCCTCTGGGTATCTTTTCGACAATAATGGCTTTCTATCCTCGGAAACATTTATACGATCCATCACTGACTGTTTTATTTTGTCAAATAATTTTGTAGTACATAGATTTTTTTCTCTTTGATCTTCGCCAACTGTATTCAGTATTTTAACCCTTTTGGAAAATGCTTTTGGAAAACATTCTACAAACTCTTTCTTTTTTCAGAAGTACAAAGATTAGAGAAATAAGATATCCTTATCGTCAACATAATTAGTGCAGTTATCCTAAATGTGCAAGAATTATTCCTAACTCTTGAGCGCATAATAGGCTTCGCCTCTACATTATTTATAATAAAATTCCTTTGGCGGTTAATGTTGCCTAGGTTCCAGAAAGTATTCAATACCATAGTACGTTGTTCTTCTATAAATTTTGATACACAAATAAACCTATAAGAGCAATTCTTTGCTCTTGCTTGCACTCTGTTGTCTCCCCAGTTTATATACTCTTTTTCTTAGTTCCTCTTACTTTTAATCTCATTTCCACGTCATGATTCTCCTAACCTTCTTTTCTTTCTGGACTTTATGTTTTCAAAAATTTATGTCTAGTTTGTTTTTTTCTTTTTCTTCTTCTTCCTCTTTATAAAAAATCTGCTTGTTCATTGGCAGATTAATACTTCTATGGAAGGTTATCACTCCATCTTTTGCGCGGTCGTCCGATCCTTCTTTGCCGATTGGTGACTTGTTATTTTGATGTCATGAGTTTCCGCCATTCTGCTTATACGGGTATTCCATTCTTTTTTTCTAATCTGTGTCCATTCATTTATGGACTGTACATGTCTTTAATGTTATTTCGATCTTTCTGCGTATTTCCTGTAATTCTTCTCAGTACTCTCATCTCTGCCGTTTCCAGTACTCTTTGCGTTTTGGCAGTGTTGGGTCTTGTTTCTGAGGCATATGTCATTATTGGTCTTACACTGGCTGTATAAATTCTTGACTTCATCTCAGTGTTAATGTGTCTGTTTCGCCAGATAGTGTTGTTATGGCACCCTGCCAGTCTATTTGCTTTTTGTACTTGATCTTTCACTTCTTTCTCCAGGTCTCCATAGCTAGACAGTGTAATTCCCAGGTATATTATTTCCATTACTTGTTTAATATTGATGCCATTAATTTTTATTTTACAACTGTTTGGTTTCTTGCTGACTACTATTATTTTAGTTTTCTGAGATGATATTGTCATAGTAAATTGTTTTGCTCTTATGTTAAATCTGTAAACCAGTCTTTGCAGTCTATATTCATCTTGGGCTATCAATATTGCGTTGTCTGCGTAACAGAGCATTTTTATTTCTTTTCCATTCTATATCCTTTTCCTTTGTTAACGCTTTTGATGATTTCATCCACGAATAAATTAAAGAGCATGGTGCTTAATGAAGTCCTCTTGATTTATTCCGCTGCCTATTTCTATGGGTTCTGTAAGTTGTTCATATATTCTGACTTCCATTTTGTTGTTATGGTAGATGTTTTCGATAGTTTTTATAATATTCATTTGAACTTCTCTATTACACAGATTGAGTCTTACTCTGTCAAACGCTTTCTTTAGGTCAATCAGATACAGCAATGCTGCTCTATTATACTCTAGTGATTTCTCAGTAATTTGCTTTATAACGAATAGTGCATGTGTCACACGATCTTCCACTACGAAAACCCTGTTGTTCATCTGCTAAACTTATCCTCTGATTTATTATCACGTAAAATTTTAGTTAAAAGTTTTAGGGTAGTATTTAACAACTTTATACCTCTACAGTTTTCTGGCCGTTTATCTTCTTTTTTGAATAGTAGAATTAGTTCGCTTGTTCTCCATGCTTCCGGTATTTTATTGTGTTTTATAATTTTATAAATTAATGTTTTAATTGTTCTGTCATTGCTTTTTGCTCTTTGTCAATTGTTTTTTGTAATAATTAATGATTTTCTTGTGCTGAATAAATGGAGTTGGATTTATCTTGGACTATTAGTACTACCGTTTTGCATGGAAAAGTGCTTTATTTCTTTGATTCCCATTCTGTATCCTCTCCTTTGGTTGGTACTTTTTAGTTATATATATTTTTTAGTTCTATAGTTTTTTCTTTATATATATTTCCCTATTATATTATTTTATATCTTTTATTTCTTTATATTTATTATATTATTATGTTTATTTATTATTGAATTATCCCTTGTAATTGGCTACTATTACCTTCGCCTTCATAATGTTTACTTCATTTTCCTATTTACTAGGATTATTAGTTTTTAGTATAGATCTTCTAAAAAAGTTTATTATACAGGAACTACCCATGCCGCAGCCGTAAGCAGCAGCAGCAGTTCTTCTTCAGAAGAAGTTGCTGAATTAGCACAGTTATTGTCCAAAAAATTCAACACCACCATCATCCTCGATATTGTAAAAATGGTTGAGAAAGCTGAGGATAAGTGTCCAAATATTGAAGAAAAAATTGAGGTAAATAACTAATTATATTTTAAACTATTTTAAAGTCTTTTTAAAATGGTTGTAAGCTTGATTTTCTGTCAATTTATAAATTTTAAATGGATCTTATGATAATATTAATCTTAAATAATACGTTAACCTTACAATAATGCTAAGAGTCATTAAGGACAGTTCTCTTTAAACATCTAGAAAAAAACTGAACTAATCTGATTTGGCAATGCCAAGTATAACCTTGCTGAAACGTCGCGAAAATATTGGTTTTATCGCCAACCTTCCAATGCATTTAATCTTTCATATTGTTGTCTATTTCCTACATGCCTGATTAGACCCATTTTTCTCCAATCATTGTTATTATATTTACCTTTATCCCTATACAAGGTCGGCTTTCTTAATTACATTTCTTTATACATTTTCATCTTGGATCATTACAATATCAATCCCCTTTATAGACATGTCCAAGAAGTGTTACTCTAAGGAGAATAAATAGGCGCTAAGTACGGAGCTGTGATCCAATCCGACTTTTACATGAAATTTATCAGATTCTCCCGACCGGAGGCTGAATATCCTAATGACTATTTTTATTTTGAACTTGCTATTGTAAACAAATAAATCGATCTGAATTAATACTATCTAATACAACTAATAATTCTATCTTCGGCCAACAGATCCTTTTCCTAAAATGTTTCCATGTATTATCAGTAGTAAAATTTCATATTTTGGTCCCCTCATCACATGGCCTAGGTGTTCCAGATTTTTTGTTTGTATATTCGTGATTAGTTATGTTTCTTTGCCAACCCTCTTCAGTACATCTTTATTTGTAATTCCATTAATCCATAATATTTTTAATAATTTTCGGTATAACCAGAGTTCGAAAGCCTCGATTATTTTTAAATTGCATTTTTTTATGTCCATGTCTCAGATTCATATTCGAAATATATAAAATAGAATGGTAGGTAGTCTAAGTTCCAAATTAAAATTTTTTTTACATTTAGCATGTACTTCGTTTTTTTAGTATAATTCCCATCTTAGCACTATTCATACTTAAGCTTTTAATAAGATGTTGTGGATCTTCTATGCTCATTTAAATGATTACAGTGTCATCTTCATCTCTTAAGTTATTAATATTATTTCCGTTACCGATAACTACTTTGATATTATTGAGCGTGTTGTTAAAAATTTCGTCAGAATATTAGTTAAACCAAAGTGGCGATAAAACACATCCTTGTCTAACTCATCTACATATCTTCATTTCTTATGACTGTTGTCTATAAATTTAAACTATGGCAGTTTGGTTCCAACATAATGTTTGGATTACCTTTATAATTTTACTCTCATTGTGATTATTCATAAGTATTTATATTAGTTTTTCATGTCTTATTCCAAAGCTTTTTGGTAGTGAACAAATCACAAATGTAGGTCAACGTTTACATCTTGACATAGCTGAATCAGTATGTTATTGGCAAATAGTCCTTCTCGAGTACCCATTTTATTTCGGAACCCGAACTGCTTCTTACTAATCTTCCCCTCTAACTTTTCAAGATCAATGAATACCGTATGAGTGCTTTTTTATTCCTGTAGTTTTTTATCAATTACATTATAATAAAAATTGCATTCGTTGTTGATCTGTTTTGCATAAAGCCACACTGATTATCGGATATTCGGTTTCTTCACGTATCCGTCCATCGATTACTCTCTTTCATATTTTCATGGAGTTAAGTAGTTTTATAGCCCTGTAGTTTGCGAATTGTTGTATAGTTTTCTCGTTTTTGTCAATAGGTACCAATATAGTAAATTTTTGATTCAATGAACTGCCAAAGCACTTTTTCCATAACTTTTTGACACCCTTATCGTGAACTAGTATTTTACTATTTTCATTTCGGGCACATCTAATCTGATTAAAATATTTTGCTTTCTTCGCTCTGTGTTTGTCTATTTTATAATTATATCCTTGTTTAACTGTCCTTGGTATCAAGGTAACCGTACAGATTTGTATACGCTCCTTTTACACTCTTTAACACTTTTATCGCATATTTAGCGATTAACAATTGGTACACAGTCTAAACAATCTTTTAGGGTGTAGTCGACAAAGTCGATCAATGCATGGACGAAATTGAACTAGGATCAGATACTTTCTGCTCACTTGTCAAGAATAACCTTGCAAAATGCTCCAAACCACTCGTCGATCTCATCACTAGTTGCTTGCCAGACGAATCCAAAGATCTTCCACCAATGGTACAAAAAATTATTACTGCTGTTGTAGATGAAGCTTGCCATACCACCGTTGAAGAACTATTAGGTGAGATAAACTTTGAATTTCGTATTTTTATGTCTTCTGTTTTTTAAAAACAAGTATATTAATACTATATCCTTTTAAGGAAAAAGGTTTCGTATACATATGTTGGGTTAAGGTTAAATATTAAATATCTTGGACAAGGAAAGAGAGGGGACGCCTAATCGTATGGAATTGACTGAAGCCTGAACCGGTCCCGGAAAGGTTGGCAGATCATATTTTATTTCTTCAGTAAATTGAATAATCCAAATTTATAATTAAACACTAATATAATGATCACTTTTTGAAGATGATTTTATCATTACATATTTTTTAGTAGATCGATATAGTGTTTCAGTAAATCAGTAAATTAAAGTTGAAATTATTTACATCTGACAGGACTGATGATCACTTATATGGAGAAGGAGAAACAGGACCTTCAATCCTTAAATCGGAGATAGAAGAAAAACAATAAGTCAGCAGGTCCGGACAATGTACCCTGCAAAATATTAAAGATCCTATGTAAATCATTGATAATCAGTTGGAACAGTCATGCATGACAGTTCCTTGATAATCTAGTTGTACCTTTTAACAACATATATAATAGCGGTAAAATCGCGGAGAACTGGCTGCAGTCAACATTTATTACAATCCCGAAGAAACCAAATGCCCAGATCTGTGAGTTTGATCAATCATGTCACTAAAGCGTTTACTTAGATCGTTCATAGAAGAATATATGATAAATTTGAGTCAAATATTAATAGATCGCAGTTTGGTTTTCGGAAAGCACTTGGAGCTAGAGAAGCAATTTTCGCTCTCCAGGTGCTTATACAGCGGTGTAGAGACATTGATAAGGACGTTTATTTGCGCTTTGTGGATTTTAGAAAAGCATTTGACAATGTCAATCGTGAAAAATAGATATTCTGCGAAAGACAGGTATTGACGACAAGGAGATTCGAATTGTCGCAAACCTATACTGGGGTCAAACAGCAAGAGCAAAAAATTGGCCACGAACTCACTGAAAGTGTGCAGATCAAAAGAGGTGTCCATCAGGGGTGTATATTACCTCCACTCCTATTAAATGTTTATTCCGAGGAAATATTTAACAAATGTATGGAAAATGCAAATGAGGGCATAAAAATAAACGGCGAGTTAACGAACAATATAAAAAATGCCGACGATACGGTGATCCTTGCCAGTACCATAGATGAATTACAACAGGTAATGGAAAGAGTTTATTCAGTTAGTGAGGAATACGGCCTGAGCCTTAACTACAAGAAGACAAAGTGGATGCTGATAAGCAAAAAGCAAATACCTGCTCGACAATTACGGATAAGTAACATACTAATTGACCATGTAGAATCTTAGGTGTACCTTGGTATCATTGTAAATGCAAAATGGGAACAGGCCACAGAAATTAAGGCGAGAATAGAACGAGCTAGAGCAGCATTTAGCAATATGAATAAGCTCCTCATAAGCAAGGATTTGTCTCTTCCCCTAAAACTACGTCTAGTCAAATGCTACATTTTTCTGATCTTACTGTATAGTGTGAAGGCCTGGTAGGCCACATATTGAGACACGATAAGTACCGTCTACTGCAATGGATTGTCCAGGGAAAAATAGACAGTAAGCGAGGGCCAGGCAGGAGAAGACACTCGTGGCTCCAAAATCTGCGGAAGTGGTTCGGTCTCACATCGGTCGAACTATTCAGAAGCGCCGCAAACAAGATCAGAATTGCCATGTTAATAGCCAACGTCCGCAACGGACAGGGCACTTGAAGGAGAAGAAGAAAGTTGAAATCAGTAGATCTACTGAAAAAACAGTAGACCTGGTAACCCTGCGGGAGAGGTAGTAACAGTTAACGTGCAGGCACCAAAACATGGTGGTCACATCAAAACTACAGTCACTTTGTAAAGGTTTATAAAATGAGCGTTACCTGTCCTCTCTCTTTTCTTGTCTAAGTTAAATATAGTATAGTTCAAGAAACTTCATAAAGCTTTTTATATACATATATAAGTAAAATGTAATGACATGTCTTGCAAAACAGGAAAACAAAAAACAAAACAGGTATACCGATGAACGGCAACCGTATATATGTATTTCTGACTACTGATCGCCTTCAGTACGGTGCAAACAAGTTAGAAAATAACCATGTTAACTTGGGAAACAATTACTACATAAGCAATGCAACCAATTTTTATCATTACAATTAAAAGACCCTTGGTCGTATTGCTCCTGCAGTGATCCTTTTTCAAGTTAAAATGCTTCTTTTATAACTTGGCTACACCGTACTGAAGAAGACCATAATTACGTCAGAAATATGTATATATGCTCGTTTAATATACTAATTGGTTTTATTTGTTGTTGTTTTTTTTATATTTTCCTGTTTTGTGAGACAATCCATTACATTTTACTTTTATTACTCACTCGCATTAACGTTATATATATATATATATATATATATATATATATATATATATATATATATATATAGAAAAAAATTTAATCTTTGCAGATAAGTTAAATAGTAAACTGTTAAATATTGGGGAAATCTACAAGAAAAACTCTAATGTGTATCAATTGTTTCGCCGAACGTTTTCGCCAAAGAGAATTAATTTGGCTTCTTCAGGGCTGAAAGAGAATAAATTATAATTAGCTACCATATCTAATAAAAAAACATTTACCATACCGTAAATTTTAGAAATGTCGAGTTAGGATGTTAAAAAACTTAGCTAGTAACAACATAGTGGTGTTTTTTTGTTACTATGTGCAAAAAAGGTTTTTTTTTGTTAACGTTGGAAATCAAAAATTTAGTTATTACCGACAATTCAAATAATTACTTCCTTTAAATGTAGTTACATTGGGTTTTTCGATTAACCTTGGGTAAACTTTTGCGTTTTAAATTCAAAGCTACCATACATTTCCAACGTTAACAAAAAAAAAAACTTTTTTGCACATAGTAACAAAAAATCACCACTATGTTGTTACTAGCTAAGTTTTTTAACATCCTAACTCGACATTTCTAAAATTTACGGTATAGTAAATGTTTTTTATTAGATAATATATGGTAGCTGATTATAATTTATTCTCTTTCAGCCGTAAAGAAGCCAAATTAATTCTCTTTGGCGAAAACGTTCGGCGAAACAATTGATACATATTAGAGTTTTTCTTGCAGATTTCCCCAATATTTAAGAGTTTACTATATATATATATATATATATATATATATATATATATATATATATATATATATATATATATATATATATATGCTGGCTTCAGAAGTGGATTCAGTACCATAGATCATATCCATACGCTTCGAGAACTAATGAGTAGAGCTAAAGAATATGAAATACCGCTAGCATTAACCTTCATAGATTTCGAGAAGGCTTTCGATTCTATATATCCCAAGGCAGTAATAGAAGCTTTGACCAACCAAGGCATTGACAAACCTTACATAGAAACTTTAGCAAATATATACAGACAAGCAAAAGCTAAGGTAAAAATTTATGAAAACACTCCAGAATTTCCCACTACTAGAGGCGTCCGACAAGGAGACTCTATATCACCAAAGCTCTTCACTGCAACTCTAGAAAATATATTCAGCAAAATGAACTGGCAAAACAAAGGCCTATGCATTGATGGAGAATACCTCAACCATCTAAGATTTGCAGACGACATCGTTCTAATTGCTAAAAATCCTGCAGAACTACAAGAACTTATAAGCGACCTAAATGCAGCTAGCAATGAAGTTGGCCTAAAAATGAACTTGACAAAAACAAAAACTATGTACAACGAGCTAGTGGATGTCCAAGATGTAATAATAAATAATACTGCACTGGAGACAGTAGACGAGTATATATACCTGGGACAATTAATACATAAATCTGGCTCATTACTCCCAGAAATCAACAGAAGAATGAAACTGGCTTGGGCAGCTTTTGGTAAAAATTCAGTTATATTCAAATCTAGGATGCCACTCCACCTGAAGAAAAAGGCATTCGATCAATGTATACTACCAGTCATGACATACGGCTGCGAAACTTGGACAATAAAGAAAGATATAATAGCTAAACTCAAAGTCACTCAAAGGTCAATGGAGCGATGCATGTTAGGTATAACCAAGAGAGATCGAAAAAGAATAGAATGGATCAGACAGAAAACGAAGGTCACTGATGTAATCCACCGAATAAAATCTTTAAAATGGCAGTGGGCGGGACATTTAGCAAGAAGAACTGACAATAGATGGTCCACTAGAATTACTCTGTGGTATCCAAGAGGCGTCAAGAGACCAAGAAGACGTCCAAATTTAAGATGGGACTATGACATAAGGAAACAAGCCGGTACAACATGGCACAGAAAAGCGAATATTAGACAGTCGTGGGCAGACATGAAGAACGACTATGTAAGGGAGGCTGCACCATAATTGGTAGAATACGCTGATAATGATGATGATGATGATATATATATATATATATATATATATATATATATATATATATATATACATATATATATATATATATATATATATATATATATACATATATATATATATATATATATATATATATATATATATATATATATATATATTTCAGTTTATAAACTACTTCAGTGGTGGAAACAAATATTTGTAATTAAACTTTTATTTCCACTAAATACAATGTTTAATACACAAAACAATGCACTTTGTTGAACAAGACTAAATAAAGATTTTCTTATTTGCAGAATTACTCAACCCATGTATCATAGACAAGGAATTCGTTTCCGTCCCAGCTTGCAGTGAAATCAAAGATGTTTTCGTCGCAAACAGAAACAAGCTCCCATCGAAATCCCTCGTTTGTTCGTGAGTATTTTTAACTGTTTCTTATTATTCGTAATGGTAAGGAAGCGTGTTCTCTAATACGATATATTTTGATCTAGAAACAGTTGTGATTAATGTATTTGTTCTTTTGTGTCCAGGTTTTTTGGTTACTATTTATCGAGGATATAGAGTTTTTACCTTGTTTAAGTTTAGTGTTTCTTCAAGGAAGGGGTAAGTAGAGGACTACTAAGAAGCAGGGGGATTCAGAAGATGGCGTGTCTGTGTACACGATATGTAATAAGCGCACAAGAATAATTTGGGAGAACTTTGTCACACATGTCAGACGAGGTACTTCGGGGGATACCAGCCATACAATAGGAAAACCTCTTAATCAGCGTTTTTGGCGTGCAGTAGTTAACTGCGACATTTATGGGCAATCATTCTAACATTTCAAAATACTCATCAGGGAGTTCATGTTTAGTGTTATGAAGAAGTTTTGCTGAAGGAAACTAAACTTTTATTTTAGGGAGCCTGGTGAGTATTTGCCCTCGGCGATTGCAAGGAGTCTTTAGTATTCGACTCCTAGTGAAATGAACTCCCAAATAGAAAACCGAGTTTTTGAGAATAAGGTCTTCTCCTAACAGAGTTATTCGGCCCCGAACATCGCGACACATAGAAGTTTGAATAAAATTAGTTGTGTTTTGGAGGGATTTATGGTCACTCTCCATTTATTGCACTACCTAATGACTCTATCAAGGTAGTTTTGTGCTCTTTGGAATACAGACAGTCGTCCAGATTCTCTGTATGATCCTGACGTGTGGAGAGCAGTGTCATCAGCGTAAAGTAGAAGGGATTCCGGTCTATGCTGTGGGCGGGGGATGTTACTGTTGTAGGCTGTGTATAATATTGGTGCAAGTATTGAGTCATGGAGTACTCTAGCTTGTGGAGTGAAGGATGTGGATAAGTAGTCTGCTATTTATCGAGCACATTGCTTAATTTTTAAACGAACCTTGTAGTTTTGTTTATCAAGTATTATAGGCATATCTTTACCATCATATCATTAACCATCTTCATAGTAATTAACATCTTGACACATATGTTAAGGTTCATCATTGAGCTTCAGCAGCTCGGATAATTTGATTGATGATCTTTCTCCATTGGTCTCTGCTAAATGTTATATGCATCATCTGTTGAGAAGTGTTTTTGTAATACTTTCTAGTACGTCGTTCCAGTACAGTTTACTCTAGAATTTTACTGTCTTTATGCAGGGTGAAAATTGATTGTTTTTTATAAACAACCGTTTTAGGATCTCTAAAAAGAACTTTCATGGGGTTTTAACTCAGGTGATCTCGGATGCCATTTAAGTATAATTAAGTACAGGAAAGCAAAAAGAGTATTTTTAAAGTGTGTGAAATTTATTCCCTAGATCAGCGCTCTCGACTTACAAAGCCATACAAACACTACCACTACTTAGGAGAGATCCCATTTTGGCGGAAACATCCACAATCTTCGCTTATATAGGTTGTAACTTCTTTGCAAAAACACTGTAAATGTTTGAGAAGAACATTAGACTCCTTAAAACATTTTTTGTTTATGGTGTAAGAAAACGATCATTTGGTGGGAACTGAGGCGGCTGTTTGCTTTGGATTTATGCTAAAAAATCTTAAGAGAGTGGTCCACTACATTAATGAATTCTCTAAGCATTTCTGCCTTGTATTTTTTTGGACTGCGGAACGGCTTTTCTAGTTTTTTCATTTTTTATGCCAAATTTTATTTCTGATTTTATGATTTCTGGATATCTGGATGAAAATTTCTAAATATCTTATATGAATTTTGTACTTATATCACTCTTTCTCTCAATTACTTGTTTAATGTTAAATATATTTTTACTGTACAGTTATTTCCTTTCTACATTTATATAACTTTCCTTCTATTAGAATCTAGCGTTTATTTTTTTTTATAATCTATAATTTTGTATTTATATCACGATTTTTCTTAATTACTTGTTTAATTTTAAATAAATTTTTACTGTACAGTTATTTCTTTTCTACATTTATATAACTATCCTCCTATTAGAATCTAACGTGTCAGTTGTAGTTGTTCATTCATTATTTTAGCATACATTTCATATCTACAATTGATAAAGCCGGTTCTTGATTATTACGGTAATATTTTTGCATTGTCTTAACATGATTGACACTTGTTCCCAATTGTCGTTGTTGTGGTTTTCCCATCCTTTAATCAACTTAGCACTCTATTACATCCAACCTCGAACGTCCACCTCTTCCTCCATCTCGCCACTTCATCGATTATGAGCCGCCATCATTAAGTATTTATTAATTTTCTTCAAATCTTTGGTCCATCGTGCTGGTGGTTGCACAACAATTCCTATGTCCTCACCTAGTTTCAATTACAATAACCTCTATTTTAGTCTGGCTATTCTTTAATGATGCCAGGTACCTCAGAATTTTTTCCTTATAAACTAGTTTTTAATTCCGTCATATGGTTAGAGTTATTACTAGCATGGATCGTTTAATTCTCAAGTTAAGTTATCACTTTGTTGTTAACTGGTTAACCATCCGGTACACTAGCTTTGTGCTTTATGCTCCAGCCTTTTTAATTTGTGCAGTGTTATGATATTGCCTTCATCAAACTTCTGGAATTTCCTTTTTTCACTATCTTCTATAATATTATTTATACTATTATTCTTTTATGACTTGGTACGAATGACTTGGTATGGCTCCCTTTTTATGTGCATCGTCCTTAATTGTACTAATAAAGAAATTTAGCTCTTATTTTAAGGCTGGCTCTTAATTTAGCCAGCTTTTCTCATTTCTCTTCCATTTATGTTCTTTCTTTGGTACTTCTTTTATTTTTTGGACAATTGCTTCATCATGATCATGCAGTGCTTCGATTAATTTTGGCTGATTGTAGAATATGTTTCCAATTTACTCGATTTTCTATCAATCTGTAGTCAAATAAAATGTTTATTTTTTTGAAGAACTGCTTGAATATCATCTTCTTTTTTTCGTAGTCTGAGGAGCACAAGTATTCTTTTTTCTGTGGAAAGTTCACGAAAATCAGTTTTCTTTATTTATAGTTTTTCTTCATTTATACGTAATACAATGTTTAAGTCACTAATTTTACCCTATATTTTTTCAGCATGTTACCAAAAGTGAAGACCTGCGTTAAAGGCCACGTAGAAGCTTCTTGTAAGAACCCAACTACTAAGAGAGCAACTCTGAAGTTCCACGAAGCAATCGATAATGCTATTAAATCAGACTGTGAAGCTTTAAACAAAGTTTAAATTTGAACAATTAAATAAAAATCGAAAATAATTAATGTTTATATGACTAATACTGTATTTTTGACATATGTACTAGAATTCTCATACAATTTAAAAATTGTATGAGAAAATGTTTGTATATTATGTAATAATAAAAATATAAATACAAGTTCTTGTTTTATATTTATGTCTTAATCTATTGACTTTTTTGTCTATATTTTCTTTGTCGCTATTTCTTTGTCTATTTTTTCCTCATCTGATTCACCTATTCTTGTTATTTTTATCTGAAAAATATTTTATTCTTCTCTGCCTCGTTCTCATTTATGAACATTACTTAACTTGTTTTGGTGTTCTATCCTTATAATATTGTCTAAATCACATGCCTATACATTTATTCACTACAGATTAAAACTTTCCTACAATTTTTATAGTAAACACTAAAAAGAATTTAGTTTAGAGAATAGACTGGGAGACTTGAGACAAGCTCTTTATGAAAACGATTTAAAAGTTAGTAGGGCAAAAGTAAAGTATCTATCCTGCGTTTAAAGATAAGGCATACCAAGATAAAAACTTATAGATAAATATAATTAGGAAAAATATGTCAAACAGCGTAACTTGCGTAACTTGCGCCTTTCCCCATTCACACACTCCTAAGTTTCCTCACTCGCCAACCCGCCTGACAAGCGTGGCGTTTAAATGTCAAAAAACCCTCTTCAACAAACATGTCGAATCACAAAACAAACGGAAAATTACCCCAGGTGGGTAGAGATAACATCTCGAAGTCCCACACCGACAAACCGGTCTGCCTCAAGGATTCTGGGGGAGGCAAACATTCGACTAAACTAAAAATAGGAACATATAACATCATATAACATTTAGTATCATCATGAATGATGATACTAAACTTCACGAATTAGAAGAAGAACTAAATAATATACAACGGGATGTCATCGGTCTGTCAGAGATAAGAAGAAAAGGTGAACAAAAAATACTATTAAACTCAAGAAACATGATGTACTACAAAGGCAATGAAGATAACTCTAACAACGGAGTTGGTTTTATAATAAACAAGAAAGTCGTCAGATACATACAATCCACCAAGGGTATATCAGACAGAGTAGCCTACATTATGCTTAAATTAAAAAGAACGTCTTTGAAAATTATACAGGTATACGCGCCAACAAGTTCATATACAGATGAAGATATTGAAAACTTCTACGAAGAACTAACACTCGCTATGGAAGAAAAGAAAACTAAATTGACGCTAATAATTGGAGACCTCAATGCCAAATTAGGGGGAAGAATAGATGGAGAAGAACACAGAATTGGAAAGTATGGATATGGCGAAAGAAATAATAGAGGACACACATTAATGAACTACTTGGAGGAGAGACAACTTTTTGCTATGAACTCGTTTTTTAGCAAAAAACCACAAAGAAAATGGACATGGATAAGTCCCAACGGTAATACAAAAAACGAAATAGATTACATCCTTACAACAGAAAAAACCATCATCAAAGATGTTACAGTACTGAACCGCTTCTCAACCGGTAGCGATCATAGACTTGTCAGAGCCAAACTCAGGATTAATAGCCAATTCGAAACAAAAAAGAAAATAGAAAATGTATCGAAACTAGATATGGAAAAACTTAATCAATCAAAAGACGAATATAAACAAAAAATAAAGGAAAGTATACCGGTCACTAGAGATTTGGAAAACAAAAATATCGATGAAATAAATCAGCTATTAACCGATACATTAGCAAAGGCGGGAAAAGAGGTAGCACAAACAAGAATAAAAAAGGAAAACTATGTATCCCAGGAAACAAAAAATCTCATGAGTAAAAGAAAAACATTACTGGAACAAGATAAGAGAAACACAGTAGATTACAAAGAGGTAAACAAAGCTATCAGAAGGAATATCAAGGATTATAAAAGGAGAGTACAGGAAGAAAAAATAGAAAAAGCAATTGAACAAAATAAAAACATGAAGTGCTTAAAACTACAGCTTGGAACCATACAAATTAATAGTATAAAGAACAAAGAAGGTACAGAGACCAATAATGTAGAAGAAATTATACAGATAACAATAGAATATTATAAAAACCTCTACAATACAAAACATAAACCAACCCAAGAAATCCTTAAGCAACTACAAATAAAAATAAAAAATGTTAATTCCGACTTAAACCAGAGATCAGTAAGAACGAGATAAGAAGATCACTCAAAGAGATGAAGAACAATAAATCGCCAGGAAAAGACGGGGTGACTGTAGAAATGCTAAAACATGGTAGAAAACAACTAAAGAAGTTTTGTACATACTTATGAATAAAATTTTAATGACAAAACAAATACCCAACAGTTGGAACGAAGCAATAACACTGTTACTATTTAAGAAAGGAGATAAAAAGGATCTAAAGAATTACAGACCCATAACTTTATTAAATGTGATGTATAAACTATTGACCAAAATATTAACAAATAGATTAACAACTAAATTAGATGGATACCAGGCAAGAGAACAAGCCGTATTTAGAAAGAGCTTCAGTACAAGTGACCACCTTTTAACGATGAAGATTTTAATCGAAAAAACCAACGAATATCATATCCCGCTATACACGGCATTTATTGACTTTGAGAAGGTATTTGATAGTGTGGAACACTGGGCAGTACAGAATTCCCTATAAAACAGCAGAATAGACTACCGATATACCGACTTATTATACAACATTTACAAACATTTACAAACAATTACAAATATATACAACAAGGCAACAACAACTATTAAGCTAATGAAACAAACGGAGCCTATTAAAATAAACCGAGGAGTAAGACAAGGAGATACCATCTCGCCCAAGTTATTTAACCAAGCGCTAGATGATGTTTTTAAACGACTACACTGGGATGACTTGGAAATTAATATAAACGGGCAAAATCTGAATCATTTACGATATGCTGATGATATTGTATTAATAACAGAAAAAAGTGAAGAATTACAAAGAATGATGGAAGAACTAGATAGAGAATCGACAAAAATTGGACTCAAGATGAATTATAGTAAAACAAAAACCATGACTAATCAACCAGAAGAACTTATAATTACAGTGGCACAAACAAAAATAGAACAAGTAAAAGAGTATATATATATATATATATATATATATATATATATATATATATATATATATATATATATATATATATATATATATATCTAGGCCAAATCACTAAATTAAATAAAGAAAATCAGACCGAAGAAATAAAGAGAAGAATAAGATTGGCCTGAGCATCATTCGGAAAACTGTCTTATATTCTAAAGAATTCAAAATACCCCCAATACTTAAAAACGAGAGTCTTTAATCAATGTATACTCCCTGCCCTCACATATGGCTCCCAGACGTGGACGTTTGCAAAGGAAAATATGGAAAAAATAGCAAAGACAGAAAGATCCATGGAAAGACAAATGCAGAACATTAAACTATCAGACAAAAAAGAAACGAATGGATCCGTAATAAAACAAAAGTGAAAGATGTCTCAACTCAAGTAGCAAAGCTTAAATGGAAGTTCGCTGGACACACCCTAAGGCAGAAAGATGAAAGATGGACTAAAACAATTATACATTGGAGACCATGGAATCACAAACGTAAAAGGGGAAGGCCACAAATGCGATGGTCAGATGACCTGAAGAAACACGCCGGGTCAAAATGGATGCAAATTGCCCAAGATAGAGAGGCATGGAAGAAGGAGGAGGAGGCCTATATCCAAGGATGGATGTTAAGGGCTGTATAGATAGATGTCAAACAGAATGATGATATAATCATCAATCAAATCATCGAACGATAATAAAGGTACAAATAACGAAGCCACTATCCGGGTTTTCGATGTCTTACTCTCTCGAGCCCCCAGACATTACTACACTGATCACTAACCAATGCATTACTGCTATTGGGACTTCGGACTTCAATTGTCGCGTTGGTTTTTCTTCTTTGGTTGTTTTGTGCTGGGTGTTGGTTTTAGCATCCTGATTTAGGCCCTTTTGCCTCTTCAGGATGTGGTTTTTCTTCTTGGTGATTGGCTATTTTTGTTCGTTGTTTCCACTGGTGGGTGCTGAGCCTGGACAATTAGCGGTGAAAAGGCGGTGGGGAGGTCGGTTCTTTTCAGAATTATTTTTCTATTGGGAACAGAGAACGGTTTATTTATACCGTCGATGGTAACGTGGTTTGGGTGAAGGTTGGCATGGGGGATAGTGTGGGGAATGGCGCGGGGGTTACGCGAACATTTCTGATATTTTAATTGGCGGGTGAAGCGAATGATATTTTCTGTATAATAGGTCTCCATGTCGAAAGTGGTCATCTCTTTTATTGCGACAATTTGGCTTTTTTTTAATTTCTATGGCATCTTGGATAATTCTTGGTTTATAGAAGCGGATGGAGACTATGGTTCTGGAGTTTCCAAACTTAATGTTGTGACCTGTATGAAGATGGTGTTGATTTAGAGCTGAAATTTAATTGGAATTGCAAACAGAAATGAAGTGTTCATACATCCTATTTTGGATTCTACGATTTGTTTAGCCTATCGTATTGGGGGTAGTCAGCACAAGGAATTTTGTAAACTCCGAATTGTTCATTTAAATGTTGTCTTTTATTGATCGGACAAGAGATAAAAGTTTTTGTTGGGGGGTAAATATTGCCTTTATTTCTCTTGATTTAAGAATTTTTTTCGATTTTGTCACTGACACATTTGATGTAAGGAAGAAAAGCTTTCGTATATTGAAGGTCTGAGTCTTTGGGTTGAGATTGAGGGGGAAATTAATGTCTGTGGATGCTCTTATTGACGTGATTTTCGCGGTAACTGTTTTGGTTGAGGACTTGTTTTAAACTAAAGAGATCATCTGGTCTACTTGCATAATCGAAAAAGCGTATTAATCTGGAGACAAGGGTATTAATAACTGAAGGTAAGTGATGAGAATAGTTGGACAAGTTTGTGAAGGTGAATGATGAGAATTGACATACAAGTAACGATTGGTATGGATATTTTCGATAAAAATAGTAATGAAAACCTTGTGATTTGTTTTTCCCCAATCCCACTATAGTGGTTCATAACTTTTCTAATAGCCCAATTTAGACCATTGCCACTCTAGTTTTAACAAAAAGTTTGTTTTAACTACTCTGTTATCCCAAGTC